CCGTCCTTACAAATTACAAAGCCATATTATTGATAAAAGTTTTCTTTGAGCTGTTTTATATAGAAAGAATTGTATTTGACTATATTTTTATATTTTTTTATATTTGAATCCTCAATTGTAAAGCCGCATTATTGATAAAAGCCGTTTTCTTTCTTGGTGTTTTATATAAAATTGTATTTTTCTTTATTTATAGCTTATTTTTAAATCTGCAAATAAATATGCGAATAAAAAATATGAAAAATATATGAAAATATGAAAAATAAATTATGTAGTCCAACTGCTCTTTATTACAATAACTTTTGCAGCGATACCAAGTGATGCTCATAAATATTTCTGCACTTGAGAATACAATCAACGCGGCGATTGTCCGATATCTAAAAACGCTTGAGAAAGAATCCCAATAAATGAAGACGTCAGGCTGATCAAGCCTTCGGCACAGATTCAGAAAATATCATGGCAATTCCGGCCAATTGTACCGGTAATGCGACAGGACAAAATTGCACGACAAACAAATTGTCGGCGACGAAATCGCCCGACGAATAATTCTGAAGCGCAACGTTTCACTTCGAGCGCATCACAGAGAATTGCGGAAGCGTCGGAATGCGCGTCGCGGAAAATTAAATGTCAAATTAATGCGGACGATAAATTCGCGGAGCGAACGAGCGACGAGCGGACGTGCGGCAAGGCCAGTAAATTTATAGCGCATTATCTGGAATTTAATTCGACGACATATAAATACGCGTGAAGTACGACCGATAAGATCATGAGAGAGAAGTGGCCAAAGATCCTCTCGAAAGAGATAACAAAATCGATCGCGTCTATTTTACGTATTAAATTCTGGCACGACTAAAACAGTTTGTATTTACGCGTCGATGAATACGCTGGAAGAAATTTATTCGTCAAATCTTGCAATATTCCTCTTTTTTCCGTCATAGAGATTGAATATCAACCTAAATATGTCAGACACGACAATTCTATACCTCAACTTCGCGTCGTTATCAACGCGTAAAGTTGCGCTGCATTTTAATATGATATCCGTATCTCTTGTCATTGCAGAAAAGCAAAGCGATGAAAGCTAAGCCGATCTCGGCGCCAACAAAACCTTCTCGAAGATAGCTTTGTTACTCGAGACGCCTATCCATGATCCGCCTTGACAGCCAAAGGTATGAGGAAGTAAATTTAACATCAAATCATAATGACGAGACTACTGTATCCTATTTCAAGATAAAATATAAAAATAATAAATTAATCTTCTTATTAAAACAAAGATAAATTATATTTTTCAAATTTTAATTCAACGTTAGATTTAATGACTTCTTTTGAGCGGAACAATTAATCAATTAATAAAATTTATATTTAAAAAATTAAATCATTTTTGCATCTAGAGTTAAAATTTGCTTTTTAACATATAATCATTGGCAAAAAAAAAAAAAAACAAAAAGACAGAATTATAATATGTGTTTCTGGTTACATTATGGTAAGTAATGACAATAAGAATTAATAGTTTAATAAAATAAATTTTTTTTCAAACTACATCCTAAATACAACGGAGATATAAGTTTTTACTATGGATTTCAGCACCGTGGCTTACTAGAAATAAATTTTCTAATTATGCAAATCGACAAAACGGAATACTAAAGTCCGTGATGTTTTCAGATTAAACTTTCATGTCGGGATAATGAAGTATCTAAATTCGAAATTCGAGTTTCTCATTTTCTAAATCCGAAGTGAGCAAATATATTAGAAGTTCATAATAAAGCAATAATTGGTAGTTAATTTGTTACTCAGAGGCACGTAAATTTGCTTGTTATTACATTAGTTTCAGATTCGCTCCGCGATATATTTCACCCTCGTAGCACAATAAAATAAGGTTATATATTTCAAAACACATCTCGCGTTGCATATAAAGCAAGATGTTATCAAGCGATCAATATATCGCAAGGACGCATTTAATATTTAGTTGCAATTTCGAGATCGGACGCAACTTATATATTCCGCTCGTGCCATCTATTTTTTGAAAAATCTATAACGCATATTTGATACATACGCATCAATATCGCTGCGCAATGCAGTATGCATCTTCAAATATGGGGGGATGAATTGACAACTTATCTACTTGAAGCGCCAAACTTGTAAGAACTTTCGAAGAAGCTCTATGAGAATTCGCGAAACTTTCTCAAAATGCTACATACAAAGTCGCTGCAAACAAAGTACTTTCGGTACTTTGAATTAAATCCATTTCGCATCGAAAGATCATAATAATAATAATAATAATAATATGCGTGGAGAACAGAAATATACAATTAACGCGCGGCACGGAATGCAAATCCAGATCGATTAGATCACAATTATCGTCGTTGCGATATGGCAAGTACGGCACATTTTAATTCTGCGAGCAAACATTCGGCAAATCGCTTCGTCGTCCGCACTTCCCTAGGAACATGGTCGACTGAATTCAAAGCAGAAATTTCACCTCCGGCGGCGGCGTATCGATCGAACTCGGGAAATATTCGCTAAGAAATCGCTCGGGCCAACCGACGTAACTGTTCGCACGAACCTGCCGGAACCTGCATAAGCAAGGGAGGCGAGGAATTATCGAGGAGAGAGAAAGCCATAGACGACTAAACACAGACACGCCCGAGAAAGTAGTGGCGAGAAAACGTTGAAAAAGAGGGAGACGTGAGGGTGGAAGTAGGGAACGAGGAGCCAAGGGTGCGCCAGGGAACTTTAGCTTGTAGCCACGGTCGATGTGGTCGTTGCAGCCAGTAGTCGGCGAGCATTGTTGGGACATGTGGGTCAACTCGTGCTGCACTTCCGGTGACGACACACCGACGTAATAACGAACGGAACGACCGGGAGAGAAAGACAAAGAGGGACAAAGCGAGGTAAACAGCTGTAAAAACAAGGTGCCGTAATACGAATGGAAGGAAGCTGAGATTCGAAATGACGAAGAGAAACGTTGTGTCAACACCTTAAGATCTAAAAGGCGCGACCCATCGCCTTTAACATTTCGCCCGGAGCTAAATGACCAGTTTGAGGATTCTCGTTAAGGATAACGTCTTAACCCTCGTAATTGCGTAACTGCATGCAATTTGAAACCACTATTCCCTCGCCGGGAGTTCCGACACGATGCATCGTGTAGTGAAGAGGACTGCTGTCATAACTTTAATTAAAGGAATAAAAAATGAAGTGCTATCTATATAAGTTCAGACTTTAAAAAAAAATAATAATCTTACTTAATGCAGACATGATACGTTAATTTTCGATAAAAATTAACAACAAAAGAATATTGTAAAAGACGATATCAATAATATTTAAAATACTTTGACGTCTACGTCTACGATTGTTCATTCCGATTCGATAAAATTTTTTTATCGTCGCGTCTTTTTATCGTCTTACTTTTTTCTTAAAATATTATGTCCTTTAATTTCATAAGAACGTGAGATTTTAGGTACATACACGTCGTGTCTCGAGGGAAGCTCGCGTCGCTAATGGCAAGCGATTGATAATTTGGAGCCATTTGGGAATAGCAGACGCGAAATACGACTGTATCAACAGTATGCGTTTGTTGAAAAACCAGATGCGCCGTTGAATCCGCCATTTCGAATTTCTCACATGTATATGTGTACTCGTTTGCAAATGAAAGGGACGCATTTCCCTTATCACGCCAGGTTGCCGTACAATTTCAAATTGTGCACTCTCAGCAGTGTCAAAATGTTTACGCAAACTTGCATATCATCGTTGATACAGGTTGCATTAATTCGATAACGTGCTAGTTTGCGAGTATTACAACGCCCCTAAACAAAGTACTCATCGATAAAATATTAATCTACAAAATGCGTTGGCGCGATGAATTCATTTTCATGTAGCGAATAATATTACGCCACGTGTTAAATGTTACATTTTCCGGAAAAATTCGTTCTCTCCGTATATGAATATTTTTTTTTTTTGTAATAGAAGAAAATTCCATTCACGGAAATAACATGAATACTAAGTGTATACTTTTAGAATTTTAGCAGTGAAAGCAGAAAATTTCCATTAAAAGTGCGATGCTCAGTACGGGTTAAGCTAAAGATATAAAAAATTAATATGGTCCATGGTATCGTTACGAGTGTAGTCCTTTATTTATCTTCAAAACTCCGCTGCGCCATGCCGTATTATCTCGGTCGAATCTGTAATACTTCGTTAAAGATGCACGAGAATTGCAATTTGCATCTGGTAGACTTTCATACTTTTAAGTAGGTTAATTTCTGGATAGTTTCGCATATTGCGAATTTACTTCTTCCCTTCAAGTCCGTACATTAAGGTCTTTGTCGAACTTTTTATTCCCATTCCTTAATGACATTACGAATATATATTTTAAAGGAAATTTAAAATTTAAAATTGCGACTCTCTTAATGAGACTATAATTTCGAACGCGTACCACGAAAATATATTACGGGGATGCGGCAAAGAGTGAGATAAATTTCCCAGTAACTGAGGCATATTTAAAGCTATTTTAAAAATATGAGGCCAAGCGGAAGTTGATGCGGGTGGAATTTCAAATAACTTTCAAACGGCGTGTACGTAAATGTGATTAAATTTACGATAAGGTAGCGGACAATCGTCGTTAATATATGAGAAATCCATTGTTCGATGTAAAGAACGGAAAAACCGTTGTGAAAGACATAAAAGATTTACTTCGGACGCGCAAGAACGCTAAGAGTTATTATTCTCATCGAAGTTTGCTTTACTCATGCTACCGCAAAAGTCATATTTTACAGAACAGCGCTAGATTTAATAACACAATTTAAGGGTTTTACGCGGAAAAGCACGTCATGCTCATCGAAAAATGCTCTCTCGCGGGTCTTAAAAACTCTACGGTGTAATTCGTTCGAGATCAGACCGAAACCAGACTTGAAACCATTTTAATACTCTCGTTAAAGTCCTAGACGCGGTTGAGAGAAAGCCTTTATAAATTACGATCTCGTTATGTTCGTGAAATTAAAAATTGTGCGTACCTCGCTCACCTCTCAGAGAATTTCACACAGAGTATCTGCGCCGTTCCCACGGAGTCTGTTCGTCACCACCTGTTACAAAGAAAGAAGAGGACATAAGTTAACGGAAAAGATAAAGGTAGTATGGGAAAAGACGGGAAAAAAATATCAGCCGTAAAACAGGCTTATCCAGCGGCTTCGTTCAATGTGGCAGACTTTAATGTCTGATACGATATCGTCGATGTCTCGCATAAAAAGGAATTGCAATTTATCGAATCTTAAAAATTCGTTGGCTTTAAAAAAGGAAAGGTGCTTTCAATTTCATATTATAGATGAAGGTATCTGCAGAAATTCGATGTATGCGCCTACGCATATATAATCCCCTTGTGTTGACCGTATTGCTCTAATTCTGATTTATTAATAAAACAATTCTCATAATTGTGATATCAAGTAAAATGAATTGAAAACATTCGTCTAACAATATATGAATAAGAATGATAATGAAACGCACATTTGTATTTATGCAACAAATCGTACACCGAACAAAAGGCGAAGAAGCACGCCGGCACAAAATTGTTTTGACATCCGTATATTCATTTTACAGTGCGAACAAGACGTAGATTGGCACGTAGCTGCATCACGTATAACGCGCCCGTGGTTAATTTCTCTCGCATGCAGCGAAAAATTAACTTCCGCTGCGTGGGCGTCGAGTTGCGGACAAAACCGACAAAAGGGGGAAAAAAAATGAAACGAAACGAGCACGCGGAAGAAACTTACAATGGGGTTTCCAGGGACGATTCGATTACACTCGCGGCCGGCAGCGATGTGTGAACGCGAATTCAACTGGCGTTTGCATGCGTAATACCCACGTCGGATACGACTTAATTACACGGAGTGCCATAAACCCGCGTTGAATCATTGTCACAATCTTCTCGATTCGCGTCGGCCGGCGCCACGAGCAATGGTTTACCGGCCGTTTCTATCGCATGATTTACGCCCGAATGTACTTTGCATTCCATTTACGGGGAAAGGGTGCGTGCGGCTTGCGCAGGGGATAATCCCCCGGGTCCGCGGCCTCACGGTAAGCCCCATACATTACGCCTTATTTACACGCGTGTGACAAGTTTCTCACCCCCTCCCCCTCGTTTCCCGTCCCGTGCCACCGTGCATTAGCGTTGCATGTGCGCGGAATTCGTCAGCGTGGTTCGTTCTCTATTGCGTTGTATTACAATTAATATGCATAACTATGAGCACGTTTCGATCCCCGCATAACGCACGGGCGTAACCATATTAACCGGCATATTTTTTCACATCGCGACGAAATCTCGCGAATCTTCCTTAAAGGTTTCTTTATGTCTTCGAGAATGGCATATCACGTTAATTTATGAACGTGCAGATGGTACCTTCAAGTTGCGTGCGCTAAAGCCCAGAGGTACAGGGATTGATATACATGAAGAAGTAATAATTTATTTTTATGACGTACTGCAGTAGCGCGGACGATACTTTTTTTTGTTACGTCGCGTGTCATAGAGAGAAAATAAATAGAAACGAAACAGCAACAAGTACGTAACTACCTTAATTGATGGTGGACATACACGGCTTATATAATAAATTGTATTCTAATATGACTGTGAAATGTACCCAGGATTATAAAAGTCGGATATGCGAGCTAATTGCTTAGTTAACAAAATTACACATTTTTACAGCACAAGGATTAAACCAAAGTTGTGACACACTATTAATTTCTCTAACTTTAGTTCCATAATATCGCGCTGCAACGGCGCGGTACGTTTGTAACGTTACATGGCTAAATAATGCCCAGCAATGTTGCACTGCACTGTGAAATAATGTAACAGAGTATAACAAAGGCTTCTTTGTTTAAAACCGTCTTAATTCTCATTACGTGATGCGAGTGCGACTATTCACGTTATTAGTGCCATTATTTGAAGATTTACAGAATTTTCCAGTCTTATTAACACGTCAATCACACGATTTGTATTAAAAGTAACATTTTTGCAAAATTAAAAAAATTAAATTAAACAAATTTTTAAAAATTATTTTTCTGTTATTATCTTTTTGGTATCTACATATTACAAATAATGTCTTTAAATATAAAAATATAAATTTTCTTACTTTCGTCATATTTCAATTTTCTCCCCCTATAATTTACCTTGACATTTCAGTCGTTATTATGCCCAGTACAATTCTTTTGAGGTACATTCATTTTCGACATAAAGTTTAAATACTTTAATATATGGGTTAATTTAGCTCTAAATTTTCTTCATAAATATAATTCTTTGTATTTTTTCATTATAAACACAAAAAGTGTTATTCAGATAAATATTCAACTATATTTTAAATTATAAATTGTTGGTGAGGTAACAGTACGCAGTGCGCAATAAGAGAAAATCATTTTTATCGTCAAGTACAATTAATAGAATAATGCAGTAATAAATTTTAATTTACAAAATGTTTCATAAATCTTTTTTTAGACATTCAAGCTGTGCAGTACAATATTCAATGTTTATCTTGTATATTCTTTTAATCAAATTTGCGGCATTTTCTTGCCGTTTTTTTTGGCGTGAAATTCTGGTAAGAACGGATATTTCGCACCATCACGCGGATTATTCGTCGACGTAACCTTGATAGTAATTAGAATTTCCTACAATGGATAATCTTCCTGTAAAGGATCACGGTCTGACGCCTACCGCGTACAGAACTTGAAGGGTGGATCAAATTCGCACACGTACGCAGGCACGTGCAAGGGCTGTTCGTTTGTGTGACTCACGTTTCCATACACATACGTGGCAAACGGAATTTGTACACCTGAATCCGCAGTTCCCGGGATTAAACGGTCGAGAGCCACGTACGCGCGTAACCAAATTTTGACAATTAAACGTGCCGAGTGCGATCAAAAAGTCGAAAGCAATTATAGCCAAAAAAGAATTGGATCCCTTGTGTTGGATTTTCGTTTGTAGATATAAAATGTGTTACAATTAGAATAAACTGTATTTTGTGAATTGTGAACTGTATTTTGTGAATTGTGTGTTACAATTAGAATAAACTGTATTCTCGATAAAGAAATCGGTTTTAGCCATTTAAAGTTATAAGCGAATAATTATTGTAACGCCAAACTTTATGAAACGATATATGGAATATTAAAATATCGATCTACACCAATACATATGTACTTTTTACATTGTTTCTTGTAAACACATTATTTTAAATTAAATATGTATAATTCTTGTATAATTCAATTTATAATTCCCTTTTATAATTCAATTATTTTCAAATATCAATTAATTAAAGGTATCATATTGTCGAGTCATGCATCGAAACATTGGATAGTTCGTATACTGAAATATTTTTTAAATCGAAAAAATCGTGAAAGCTTTATCTCCAAAAATAACAAATCTACGATTGCTGTAGAGTGGTCGTGAAATAACATCCGCACAGACAAACTTGGATGTTCCTAAGGAGCTGAGTACTGAGTATTTAACAAAATCCTTGAAAGTAGCTTGTTAAAAGAATCAAAATGGGTTGAATGAATAGATAGGAGAAGCTCTAAAATCTTTCACAGAGGAAAGTTTGTAAGCCATTAGAAAGGCTGTGCACTTTGCAAAACTAACAGTTTCACAATATCGTAGTTACATAATTTCCATGAGGATATTTAAATAAATTATGAGGTTCTTCATATCAACAAATCGAGGTGACTGTTATTATACAATTATTATACATTATACGCGACAAAAGATTTCTACAATGGCAAGGGATTTAAGGTTTAAATCCGTATATCTATTTGCCTATCATTTGCATATATTTGTAAATTCATATATTAATTATCCCAATATTAATAGCATAACCGATGCGTATATTTCATAGGTGGTAACTAATTCGTAGCGATCGAAGTCACATTGCGGTGGGAATGGTCACACAACAATACCGTCGATAGATAAATCGCGCGATAGATAACATTGATCTAACTATAATTTATACATATACGTGTAATTTTCATGCTAACCAGTTAATCGCACCACAAGCGTGATCGCGTTGCGTCAAATCGCGCATCCTATAATTACTGCATCGAATATTCCGTCAACATATCACTAAATCGTAGTGTTCAGATAACGCAAATCGTTATAAAATATTTAGTACACGTTATTTCTATAATGTATTAATTCAAAATTTATGCAATTGTTAAGTGCAAGATGTTAAATTATTTCCAATCCAAACGGCACAAACACATTTGGAATAATTATTTTAATCTAAAATATATCGATGATACACGTATCATAGAGAGAAATCTATATAAACGCTGCGAAGTTCCTAGATGTTAGGAACAAACTTGGAAATAACATACATATTCGCGTGCCTGACGTTTCAATAAACAATGTTCTTATTTGTCAAACTGCCACCCCAGATAAAACATTCTTTACAACATCGAGAACGTGATCGCCAAGTTCTCGGCAACACGAACGAACAAGAACTACTACCAACCAGCGGCATATCGTTGATTTGCAAACCGCATACAAAGTTTCATTTAGCATATCAACACATTCCGCGCTACACGATGCAAAACATAGTCCAACAAGATATTTTATAGAATTACCCCGTTATAGAAATACCCGGTATTACAGAGCATGTAATAAAAACAACCAATAGAATAATCCTTTTTTAAACACAATTGAGGTCAATGTTTTTCATATATTATTTTTATATTACATATATCTCCATTTATAAATAAATTAATGCAATAATATTCTAAAATCACAATTTTCAAGCTTTCACGTATCTTGTTGTTACCCTCTTTCCCCCAAAAAAATATTTCAACACTGTGTTTAAAATAAAAATTACAATGTAATTTCATTTTAAGATAAAATTAAATTCGTGTAGAATTATAAAAAAGATAATTGTAAAAGCACACGGAATCGGGATAAACTGTTTTTAATTCATGCCGCATGATCGCAAATGTGTACAAAATTAGAATCAGCTTTATTCGATTTGTTAAGGCAGCGTATCTGCACCGCGTCAAAATGGTCGGCCACGTCAGCTCGTAATCCGCTAATGCGACAAAAGTCATAGCGTTTGCGTGCCACAAAGAGGAGATAGCTATGGGAGCAGATTTCACTCGTTGATAGTGGTGACAGTATCCGGAAATTGCAGGTGAAGACGAGTTGGGACGCACACGTGACACTCTCTCGAGATGCCCTCGAGTGTTGGAGACAACTGTAAGTGGTCACGGTATCCTCATAGTACTTTGCACGATTTTATCAAGAGCAGTATCACAGTAGTTTTATCGCGACATTTCACAAGACAATGTCTTTGAAAGGCACTTCTTTAGTTTTCGGTCCTGTGCGTGTGTCCGAAAATAAATATACTCTTTGTCACAAAATCGCATTTATTCGCGCCAACTACGCTTTTCACAAAAAGAGCGGGTCTATTGACGCAGCTTTAAATCATACCTATCTTATTGCTTACAACAAACATCTTACTAGCAATATGTTTATTGGCACTAATGATGCTATTGTTCTACCTTCGCAGTCTTCTTTGAATAATTTTAATAATACGCCTGGCGAATGAGAATCGAAAGACGAAATGTCTAACGCCGGTAAAATCGTTGACTCACATCACTGAACATTAAGATGATTTTAGATCGTAGAATCACAGACCCCGTTACGCATTCGAAATTTAAATACTTGGAAACTTT